GCTGCTTGTTAATGGAGGTCCACGTGTGTCTCCTGGGCCTACTGAGCTCAGCATCTCTTTACTACGCTCCTGAGTTCGGCTCAGAACTTGTCTGGTATCTTAACTGGTGATTAATTGTAACTTTCCTTTGACAAGATGTTGTTAATCCACAGAACACATCAAAGAAAAGTCACTGGCTTTCAAAACGAGTCCCCTACTGTGTAGTAGAATATTTAACTTAGAAATTGAATTGCAAGGGTAGTCTCCCTGTAGACTCATTGGAGAAACAGGGTTACTCCTCCTGGAGAGACCTGGGGAGGTCTCTCCCTTTATGCTGAATATGAAAGTGGAGGCTAACCAGCTTCCTAATGTAGGTGCTAATCAACACCAATAATGTATCAGAAATGGAGCAGCACCTGCTTTAAGGTGCTCTCCCCCTGCATCTTCAAGCTTTGGGGCAAAAAAACCCAGTCTCTCCCATGGCACTGCCCTGCATATAACAGTGAGCACAGAAAAGGCTGGTATATAACCTGTGCTGTATCATCTTCTCTCCCCTCCTGTAAATACAGTCCCCTGGTTGGCTCTCTGAGGCATCCCTGACCTTGACACATCCAGGGATTGCCAGGCATGGACTCAACCCCAAGGTGTTGTGATAGGGATTTGAACTAGAGAGCATGGGTCAGAATTAGACTGTTTCAAGAAAAAGGAGTGTGAAGCTGCTATGAGCAAATCTTCTTTGTCCATAAACTGAAGCCTTCAGTTATAGGGGCTGCAGCACCTACAACTGGAGGGAGAGGCTCCCTCTAGCCTGCCATCAAGCTACAATACGGACCTTCCCGAATCACTGTGTATAGGAGAAAGGACATCAAATGCAGAGCTGAGAAAGAACAAGGGGAAGTGAAAGAGGCAGAGCAAAATTGCAAGGAATATTTACAGTACAATACCTAAGCAAGGTACAGGTAAGCTTTCATTCAATTTTCCCCATTTTTGGCTCTTTAAAGATATAAGAAATTCAGTCATTTTGCCTGGATGACTTTGGAGGGGAGCTGAGACCGTTTCCTAGGTGTTTACCTAGGTAAACCACTACCAGACCTCAGAGGCAACCTTTTAACACCTTTTTCCACTGAGGATGAGAAAGCAGTATCAGTTGCTCCTGCTGACCCAGCACATCTGAAGTGGCAGCAGAAATCCGAAACATGAGAAGGGAGCTGTCCCAGTCAGGGGGACTCGACAGCAATGCCGAGCCCTTTCTCCACTTTGCCATGTTTTCCAGGCGATGGCCAGCATGAGTGGGACAGGAAGGGGCCCTGCCTGCCTCCCAGGGGACGTGCACAGGTCTGGTGCTGCACTGATGCACCCGCCTCTGCACAGGGCACAGAGGTAGGGAGATGGAGACATGCTTATTGGTCACCTGCTGGCCACCAGCACGGCACAGTGTGCAGCTGGCCCATCAGCACGTGGCACCTGAGGTGTGCAGGAAAGCCAGATGTGAAAAGGATGCTGGGGGAGCGTGGATGTGCCACCAGCGACAAGCAGCCTCTGGACACTGCTCTCTGATGGGCCTTTTGCTCTGCCCACAGGGAAACCTACTCCAGCAACGTCATGCTGTGGCATCTGCCTCCTGCTCTGCCTCTTCTGTGCCCTCTGCCACTTCAACAAGTCACAAGAGTTGTAGTCCCAAAGCCAAGGGCTGCTTGGGTAGCTCTGCTTTGTGACAGAGCCAAAGCACAGGACCACTTCTGGCACTTTGGCAGAGCTGTCACCGCTGAAAGGCAAGCCCTACCCAGGCCTTGCTGATTGTTTTTGGAGGAAATCTGCTTAAATGGAAAGAGAAAGCAGTGGGAAGACCTTTAAAGGGGGGAGTGGTTGGTTTGCAGGTGTATAAAAGCAGTTACTACAGAGCTGAGTCTGTTATCACCCTGGGTAAAGGGTGGAATTGCATTTAAATGTGATAGTGTAGGAAGAAGTGAAATGTAGTTCCTAAATCGAGTTAGCACTATTATAATCTGCATGTCTTCTCACAGGAAGCGAGATTGTAGGTTCGTGTGTATAGTATTATTTTCTGCTTATAGTAAAATCTTCTCTGGAGTAACTAAGCTAAGATTGACAAGCTTCCTAAGTATGGGAATGCTTTAAAACAATTCAGTTTCCCTTTCTGATTCAGAAAACAAGAAATTATATTAATATACAAAATGTAAACCCAATGGAAAGGAATATCTCTGTAGCGATAAAGGGCAAAGTATAATAACAGGAGTGAGACCAGTCTGAATCTAGTACACCAGACACAATTACAAGGATTGTCTCTCTTTGGCTTTCTCTTCCAGGCTCCAAGAAAGAAGAATCAATTAGCTCTCTGCAGACTATGACCTTGAAGGATATAGCTTTAAGCAGAATATGCTGAGTAAGACAGAAAAGAGAGGAGAAAAGGATTTGGAAAGTCATGGAAGGGCTAGGTTCAGAAACAGTACATCAACCACAGAATATGAAATGTGTCAGTTCTTTTTTGTTTCTGCACTGGAAAAAAAAATCAGCACATAAGGGACCTTCTGGGAACAAGTTACCTCACCCTGACTGAAAAGAAGGGCACTGAGAAGCAAAAGAAGGGACAATCCAATTTGCAGATGCTACTTTTCAAGCCATGTCACTGAGAATTTTATAGCTGTCAAAGGCATTAAAAAAAAAAGTTAGCACTGATGCAATCTGTCAACCTCTCCAACAAATCTTGCTCTACATAAAACACAATGATGTGTTTGAAATGCAGCTGTTTCAAAAACCCCAAGACAGTGCTTTTAGAGCTGTCCAAAAAGTTCTTTTTATGCCTCTTGGAATTCTTTAGCAGATCTTCTGCAGTGTATTTTTCCAGCTATGTTTTCTTATTTGTCTTTGCAGAGAATTACAGCTGTTTGCCATAGTCAGAACTATGTGCCACAGTTAGAATAAATTCTATCTATACAACCTTCTCCCTCAGAGCAACCCAAACGTGACCTGCTGCCAGTTCTCCCTCTCCTTTCAGTCTGTAGCTATCGGAAAACAATGATGCCTTAATACACGTTTATCTTTAGAAAATTATAGCAACAGTAAAAAAAAAACAACAATCAACCCCCCAAAATCAAACAAATCCCCCTGCCCTCCCCCTCCCACAGCTACACACACAAAAAAAATCCCAAACCAAAACCTAAAAACCCCTTCAACCCAATCACCTAGCTTCTGGACAACCTTTTATTTCCCAGATGTGAGCAGATCTGAATGCAGATAATGGCATTTTGTCAGTGACTGCTCCAAAGAATCTCTTACACCCCACCTCGTCCTTCCTTTACTTTAGAGACGAAGTTAGCATGTTATTGATAAAGGTTTGCTTCATATGTGAAAATTCAAGAGGAATTCTCGAGGCAATATTGACTGGGGAGCGGTCTCATGTCACTTTATGGAGTAAAAGTGCTGTCATATATTTAATGTCACAATATTTGGGTTACAAAAAAGATTTTATGCATCAGCAATATTAAAAAAAAGCACAAACCAAAACATTTAGAATAGTACTATATAGTTGCAAAGGTAGCTAATTCAAGTAGTATCATAGACAAAGCCCCCTGTCATTTAACAGTACAGCAGTAGTTCCCTATTAGAACTGTTTCCATCAGAGAAGTCATTTTTAACCCAAAGGATGGTTACCACCATTGTCTAAGCAAAAGGAAGTAGGGTTTTTACAGGAATACTTAGGACTTTCCTTCAGTGATTCTGAAACTGCTGTTCAAGACTGACTCCCAGCTGGAAGGACCTTCTCTGAAATCACTGCAGTTATGCTGGCAAGGGGTTGGCCCAAAATGTTAGATCTAATCCAAATGCCACGTATCTATACTAGGTCCAGTGCTAGCAGGGCTAAACTTAGCAGTGAACTTCTGGTGACTTCAAGGCTGCAGGGTGAGGTCCAGTATGTACCATCTACGAGGTAGCCAAACTGCAGCATTACAGGGAAGACACGTAGGGAGAATAAAAGACATGGGGTCCTGCAAGGAAATTTGTGAGGAACGCAGTTTTGCACTCTGATTACTGCAGCTTTCCAAAGGAAACCTCAGCCCTGTGGTCTCAGCAAAACGGTTGCTCTGCCTTCTCTTTTACTGGAGTTGCACAATTTTACACAACTCAGGAACTGCTGGCTTGATCTGCTCCGGATTTGGTGGGTTAAAGTTATGAATGTCAAAGAAATGACACTTCAGCAATGCAGCATTTTGATGCTTTATAGCTGCTACTGAGGAAAAAAAAAAAAAAATACAGGTACCCTGGATGTTTTGTGCTTCTAGGATGAGCAAAGTCTAATTCAGAAATTGATTCCTCCTGCATTGGCAAGAAGGCTTTTCTGAAATGCCCCACAAAGGGCAAAAAGGCAGTATGTGAGAAACAGTTTCAAAAAGAATCAGCTCCCAGAGATGGGAAAAGACATAGAGAAATGTGTGCTTTGCTCTTAAGAGAAAGATCATAAGCTAGATGCTAAATTAATAATTTCTGGTTTCTAACTGCTTCAAATATGCTGTCACTTTTTCTCACTGGTCTGAGCATTTCAGGAGAATGATAGGGATGTTTGCCAGCAACAGATTTCAGGAAGGATGTACCAGAAGTGCTCTGCAGGCAAGGCAAAGAAAATGAACATACATGGAAGATCCAGCACAGGACGCAAATCAAATTTCTAAGACCATGTGGAATAGCTATCAGATAAACAGTAAATCATATATTTCCCATATATTTCCCTACAAGTGGATGCAGAGAAAAGGGTGGTATTAACCCTTTACAGTGATCCCAGATGAAGCCCTCTTTACCCTGCACAGTTCAGAACTAAGTGCAGAGGACTCTAGATGCTCTCCTCAGAAGGTATACCTGTCTTAGCACACTTAAGCTTTCCACGCCAATCACATGCCCTCTTTGTGGATGGTTGCAGAACAGTTAAGTGGCTTTTCTTTTTTTTCCCCTTTTTTTTTGGTGGAAGGGGCGGGGGGGGAAACCCAAAGAAACACACAGCTTTTACTTACAAAGTTTTGGAGTGGTTTGGAGATTGGTTTCTTGTGCCTGAGACGCTGTGGTAGGCTCCAGGGCGGGTGGTGACAGCGAAGGTGCAGCAGAGGACAACAACCCAACATCTAGGACGCGGTTATACAGAGAAGGCTGGAGGAACGGTTTGGAGGGCACAAGTGAGCTGTCACTTTGCACTGTCACTTCAGCCTTGCTCTTGGGGCTAGGTACGAGGAATGGCGAGGCATAAACCTCCGAAGGCACCCAGGCAGACAGAGCTGTAGGATCCACAGCGCTCTTTGGGTCTTGTCCTATCCTCCCGGGGTCAAGGTGGGTAGGAGAGTCGTACTCAAAAATCTTGTCCACAAAGACCCACTTGAGGCCAGCAATGCAGAGGCAAAGGCTAAGCAGGCAAGCCAGGATAGGGGCGATGCAGATCTTTTCAGAGTTGAGGCAGCCCTTCAGTCGCTCTGCCTCCAGGCACGCACAGCAGGTTGCGGCAAGGCCTGCTATCCCCTGGACCCTCCTGTCCTCTCTTTGGGTCCCCGGCATGTTCTCCTCATCTGGGAGCCCGTTGAGGGATGCATCAGGGCTCAGCTGAGCTGAGGGGCTGGGGAAAGTGTCGGCAGCTACTTCAGACATGTTTAAACATCAGCTCTCAAACAGCTCACCTCCAAAAGGCCTTAACTCTATCACAGTCCATTACTGTGAGACACAGACAAAAAGAGATGGTAGTAATAGTCACAGTGCTCTGCAAAAATCAGAGTGGGAGTCAATAAAAGGTCCAAGCTCAGCAACGTCATCCAAACTGGGAGAGGAGTAACGCACAGGAAAAATCAGATGCCCCCCAGTCCCCCTGCCCCCAAGCCCTCTGTCACTCTCTCTGCTTCTCCGAAGCGAGAACAGCTTTGCAATTACTGAGCTCCTGTTTGCTAGCCACTTTTATAATTCCTTAAATGCCTCTCAAGCAATTTCAGTTCTTCTGAAGGAGGGAAGAAACATTCCCCCAAAAGCAAGCACAACAAAACAAAACAGCGGGAAGGAGGGTGATGAGATAAAGAAAAAACAAAACACTGAACAAACTGACCGGATTAAGTGAACCAGTAGCCCAGAGCGAAAGGTAAGACTCTCACCTTGAGCATCTGAGGCTGGTATCTGCTTAGACGAGGAAAACAATTGTCATGCGGTAGAAGGAGCAAAAGCAAAATCTGTAACAACAGCGGCAGCGGCAGAAGTGACAGTAGCAGCAGCATCCTGTCGTGTTACAGCGGCGGCTGAAAGAGGCTGAATCATTACAGAGCAGCAGGTGCTCGCTGTCTGAGCATCACTGCAAACAATATCATTACACAGAGGTTTGAAAGGAAGAGCGATGCCAAGACGGTGGTAACTCCCTTTCTCTCCCCTCCCTCTTTGTCCTTCTTAAGCGCTCATTCACTTTCCTCCGTTCCCCCCACCCCCCGCCCCGCTCCCCAGCCCCCTCGCAGCCTGTTTCCCTGCTGTACAGACTCGCTCCTTCCTCCCCTACCCCACCCCCCGCCCTCTGCAGGGCTGCTCTGAGGGAAATCAGTACACCCAGCAACGCAGGATTGTCAGTGACTTCCTATTTTATCCAATTAGGAGGAATAAAGGCCATCAAATCAAAGGGAGGGAGCGGGCAGGAGTTGCGCACCCACCCGCTCCCTCTCTCCTGGCAAAGCGTGGCCGGAGGCGGCGGCCATCGGTGGCAAAGTCCTCCGGCAAGGACCGGGTGTCGGTCGGAGCTCTTTGGGTTGGACTGGGCTCGCTCAGCCTGATATTCGATCTCTCCCAGGGGGAAGACCTCTTTCCATAAGCAATTTCTCCCTGCCTGACACCTAGAGACCGCTTTTCTTTGCAAGCTCCTGAATAAGTTTTGTTCCCTAGGAATAGAACTGGGATGCATCTTAGGTCAAGCAGAGGAAATAAAAAAGCCCAAACCATTCCTGCCTCTAACAAATTTGCATTTTAAGTTACTACAAAGATGTCTGCATATTTTTTTAATTCCATTTTTCCATCTTCCTTTTCCAAACCCCTCCTCCAAAACCAAAAAACAAAGACTTCACACTAAAATCGGATCTCGATTGTACTTTTCAAGAGCTCACATGTTGCTAGCATATATCCTCACTCTACCTCAAACTAAAAGAAAAAAAAAAAAGGAAAAAATTATTCATTATTATTTAATAAAGGCTTACACTTAGTTATTAAATTTGGCTGTCATTTCTCACCTCTACCAATACCTAGCACTACCATTTCCACCAGTGCAGTGTAATACACTGGTAAATTAACGGTCTTGTTAACATAATGAAAGTAAGATTAGAATCAGATCTGTTCCCTCTTTTGTCTCCCACAGAAAATAAACCTGTGTAACAATACAGACATATGAATGAAAGGCAAGGGGATTATAACACAATTTCCAGTTCCTTGGACTTAATGAAAACATTTGCATTGAAGATTTGCTGGTGAGAACCCTTCTTTCTCCTTGGTATAAATGGCAGCAGGATGCACAAGGAAACAAAGAATCAAGTGCTACAAATTGCCCTGAACTCATTTTTGCTGGTATCATAGTCAGGCATCTGAAAGGTAAATTCCTTTGTAGTTGCGTATTTTTGGTAGTGTTAAAAGAAGCATCTGGCTCTACCCATGTTCTCTCTCTGCCTCCAACTCTCCTACCACCCCAGCCCCCCCTTCCATGGGAACATTAGTAACATTCACATGAAAAAGGTTTATCAAAAATCTCAGTGAATCCCACTGTGTTTTCACAGACTGCCATGTCAAGGACTAATTGATGGATGTCTGATCACAGAGCTTCCTGTGAGGCTGTGGTAGCCAACTGAAGTAATCATGATGCTGCTACAATCAAGTGCCTGGAGCATTTACCTTAAAGCACAGCCAGTGATAACACTCTCTGGAAGAATGTAAAAAGATAAATCATCATACAATCTAGCCTACATTACCGCTAAAGTGTCTGGTCCTTAGGTTAATGATGTGATCAGTAACCTCAGAGAGAATGAACAGCTTGCATGCATATTTACATACATGGCTTCTCTTACTATAAAGCACATGTTCTCCTTAGCTGGTAATGCCTTGCAGGAGTGCAGCCTCTCTGAGTATTTCAAAGCCTATTTCAAACAGCAGTAGCAACACAGCCACTGTAGAAAGTGTAACATCACAGCAGCATTGCTGTGACAGCTGTGGTGGTCCATGGGTACAAGTAATCAAGGTTTCTAGAGAAAGGATGTACCTTTTATTAAATTAGCTGATAAATCTGGGAAACCCAGACACAATTCTGCATACACAAGCTCCTCCTCAGGTGTGAAGCTACAGCATCACTCTTCAAAGAGGAGTGCAAGTTGAGAACCAGCTGGAAATATCCTCTTCATTGCACAGATGAGATACTACAGTATCTGAGGGCTTGGCAGAAATGGTTTCAAATGTCTCCTTCTTTATCCATGCCTGATTTTTCAACCTCCCTATTTCCAGTAAGTTTTCCCTGCTGACACTTCTCTGAGCTTGTCTTTAATTCACTGCCCCGTCCACATCTTTCCTGCACTGGTCCTCCTGGAAAACTGCCTGTGTTCATCCTTCAGTAATCTTTGCTACCCTCCATCCTATTCACATTTTACTGCTCTCTTTTAAACTATGTTTCTGCTTTGCTCACATCTTGCTGATTGAATAGAAACTCATGTGTAAGCCTTGCACCTTCTTCACAAGGGCTGCCACGAAGTTAAACCGAATACACACAGTGCTGTGGAGCTGGACAGAGAGGGACGGCGTGCTGCCTGCACGGGCACACATCCAGGGGCTCCTCTGCATCGCCCCCCTTCCCATCCTGCTGCCGGAGGAGCTGTCAGCTCGCACGGACCGGCAAAGGGCTCTGCCAAAGGGCTCCTGCCCCATCCCGCCAGGCTAAACTGAGCCTGGACAGCATCTCTCCCTGCCTTTTTCACGCCCTCCTCCACCGGCGGGGCCCAGGCTGCCCGCAGCAGCTCCTGCCGGCAGGCAGGCAGGCAGGCACACCCGCACACCCCCCGTCGGCTCCGTGGCCGCAGCGTGTCCGTGGTGCCTGGCTCCCGGCCAGGCTGCAGTGCCCTCCTCCGCTGCGGGTCCCTTCCCCCGCCGCGCCTCCAGACCTGGCGCGCAGGCTGCCCGCCTCAGCATCACGCAGCCAGCTCTGACCAGACCTCCTCCTCCTCCCCTCGCATCCCTTCCCAGGGAAGCCTGCAGAGCTGATTCAGCCCCCCGGGGGCTGCGGGGGCTTGCGGCGAGGAGAGCGGGGCGGCGCCCGGCACCCTGCCCCCGCCCTCGGCGGTGCCCGGCAGCTCCCGCTATTCCGCGGCCAGGGAGGGAGGCAGGCGGTGCTGAATCATCCGCCAGGCAGCATCCCGGGCCCCGCGCCACAGGTGGCCAAAGCCAGAGGGCCAGGAGGACACATCCTACCCGCCGTGCTGCGATCCGATGCCGCATGGGTCGGCTACTCTCGGGGATCTTTGGGCCAAAATACAACCCCGCGCTCTTTTCACCACGTCGGGGAGGGTAAGGGAGCACACCACCTTCCGTGGCAGATCTAGAGCCTGCAGTAAAGGCTGGCTGATGATGGTCTCTCATTTTCGGGCCTGAAGGTACAGTTTGCTGAGTTTGAGGGTCCTTTCTGCTCCTCTTACCCCCAGAGCAATGCAGAAACACTTCATCCCACAGCTTCACTTTTGAGCTTTTTACGTTTCTGTAGTGACGTGCTAGCACTGGCATGCTGTGCTTAAACATGGGTTCTGGCCCAGGCTGGAGGAGATGAGTGCCTGGAAAAAGTCAGCAATTGGTTCACTGAAAGGGAGACCCAGGAAGAAAACAGGAGGAGGAAGCATGACCTTGGAGGTAACAAAGTTTTACAAGGGTAGCCCATTGGTGGTAAATACAGAAGGATAAGGAAGGAAATAACTTGCCTGTTCATAATTAGGTTAGCTCCTTGAGCAAAGATTTATTTCTGATTACCATGTGGCTTGGGCCTCTTTGGCTGAGAGGAAAAAGCAGTTTGAGTCTACACTAATGAAGCTAATCTATGACTGAGATTTGGACTCCTGCCATATGTAAATGACAGGTTGAAAATCAGAGCCTTAGAAAAGTGTAATTTTATTTTGTGGAGTGTTTTTGTAAAGAATCAAATGATTTTTTGCAAAGTTTCACTCCCAAAAGACTCAAGGAGATACAAAGAGCCAAAGACAGCATTAACCTCCAGCCTGTGATGAGAAGGAACATGTTCTATCTGTTTGCCAGTTTTACTGGTGCTAAAAGGAAGCTGACTTCATAATACCAAGCTGCAGAGGATCATTCTCTGGTCACCACGAAGATGTGAACAGACCATGACTGACATCATCCTGAAAACTAGAGCAGCAAAGACCATTTAACTCATCTGACCCTTCAGTCACACCATAATCAGACCCAAACCTGCTCAAAGTTTTGGAAAGTAGGCTTGGTGAATCATTCTCGTGGAAGACATTGGATTTCAAATATCTAAAATTCCCTTAGAATTATCTACTTTCTTCCAACTACTGGGACATTAGGAAATTAAAATGTGTCTTTACAGGCTCACATGGCTGGATCACAGCTTAAGAAAGGATGAACAGAGAACCACATATCAGCGCAGGACAAGTGATCCCTGCACCCACCCAGACCACTGCTTTCCTTTAAGAACACGCCAGTTCTTCAGAAAAGAGCAAGCAGCAGCATGCAGCATCAACTGCTCCATCATGTGTTTGATTGCACCCCCTTTTCTATCATACACTGAGAAATTAAAAGCATTGTAACCAAGAATCTAATAAGAAAAAAGTGCATGCTCATTAACAAGAGATTGATGAGCAAGATAAAAGGATCTCTTTTTATTGATTGCACTTTCTTCAAATTAAATAAGTGCACCATTTAACGATGGAGGAGTGACCCAAAGCAAGCGATCAGGCCCAATGAGCAACATCACTGCCAGCAGTCATGGTGTGGGAAGAGTGGGCTGTAACACATGGTACAAAATTATTCATTTATTCATTCTTTCACTGTTTCACCAACCTCCATAATCCATCTCCCTTGGACTGATGCCAGCACTCCTTGAGTCCTTCTAAAAGCCCTTACTAGGAACCTCATCTCTCAGCTGAAATGGCACACAAAGAAAACTTCATTTTGCTTCTATGCTGGTCCTGTCACTGGAACTCTAAATGTTAAAATGGGACAGGCTGTCACCCGCACACACACATCCCGTTTTTCACCTGATGGAAAGCAAACAGGATATATGTGATAGTGCTGTTTGTGTGCTTCTCCCCACCACCT